CGAGTCATATGCTGGACGCTATGTGCCGTACATTGCCAATGCCATGGTTGAGAAGAACGACACCGAGCACTTTGACGTCAAGGGCATTATGTTCTACGACCCAAGTGTTGCCGAAGACGTCCTGCTCGAGGACATCCCCGCCGTGCCATTCGTGGACCGATGGGCCGGCCTCTTCAACTTCAACGAGTCCTTCACCCAACACATTCATGAGGCCGCCGATCGTTGCGGATACACAGACTACATGGAGAAGGCACTCACATTCCCGCCTACCGGCAAGCTTCCCGAGCCTCCTAACAGCTCCGTAGAGGGATGCGACCTCTGGAGCCAGATCTACTACAACGTCTTCTTCACCAACCCTTGCTTCGACGTGTACCAGGTGGCTACCACCTGCCCTCTTCTTTGGGACGTCCTCGGTTTCCCAGGCTCCTTCGACTACCTCCCCGCAGGCGAGCAGATCTACTTCAACCGCACTGAGGTCCAAAAGGCCATCAACGCACCAATCCAGGACTGGGCGGAGTGCAGCTCTGGCGTATTGGACATCGACACATCAGCGCAATCATCTTACGAGGTCATCCCCAAGATGATCGACGCGCTTGATCGCACTGTCATTGTACATGGTGAACTCGACTTCATCCTGCTGTACAACGGTACCCTTATGGCCATTCAGAACATGACCTGGGGCGGCATGCAGGGTTTCCAGAGTGCTCCCAAGGATCCTTTCTTCGTTCCGTATCACGACGACATCAGTCTGACTAGCCTCAGCGCCAAGGGAATCATGGGTACGACGCATAGTGATAGCAAGGCATTCAGTCATCAAATCAAGATTGAAATTCATCTCTAAAGTGCACATGTGATGTGAGGGGAAACACCCTTGATGGTCCATAATTCCCTTTTCTCCAACTAATAGACAAGTGGAAGATTTCGACCTTACTTGTCTCCGAGAGACTTGTCTGCCGTCGGGTCCTTGCCCGGTCCTGATGCCTCTGCATTTGAAGATGACTGGGCATCAATGAGAGACTTCGCGAATTGCTGGGCATGAAATGCACCGCCCTTGCTGATGAAGCTTTTCTGGCGCCGAACTTGCTTGTGGGACAGGAAGGGCCCTGCGGCAGCTGGAGTGATGGAGATGCGGTTGGGATGCTCGCTTGCAGGGCGAATGGGCAAGTCTGGCAGTCCAGCGGCAACCTGATCCTGGTTTTCGGCCTTGGCGAGCGATGCAGAACGGATGGCACTTGTGTCTTCCATCATGTCACGTCCTGTGTCCTCCTCATCATCCGTGTCCATCTCAGCGTCAGAATAATCCTCGTAGCCTGCATCGTCGATGGCTCCGGCTGTGTCGTATGCCTCGTGGCGTGTCTCGTCAGTCACCGTGATACCCAAATCCTGCAGTCGAAATTCTTCCAGCTCAGCCAATTCCTTGCGCAATTCTTTCAGTGCCTCCAGAGCGTCCGCGTCTCCTTGTCTGTTTGCGGCAATATAGCTCGTTCGCCACTCTTGTTCAGCAGCAAGCCTGAAGATGTCTGCATCATTCCAGTCGTCGAGGGCAGAAGCGACAAGGATAGAGTTTTTAATGACATAGTAAGGTGGAAGAGTAGGGTCGCTGGAGATGCGCCGTCAGTGTCAAACGCTGCAAAAGAGACGGGAGCCATGTACTCACGTCAGGTTGTGCTTGGCGGCTGCAATACATCCGTCCATGTCTTGGGTATCAAACTGAGTTCTGGCAGCCTCGTACTGTTTGCGGTAGAGACTGCTCTTGTAAGGATCTTGAGGCATTCTGTTGGAAGGTTGCGCAGATGTTATCGTCAATCGATTGTGTTGGGTAGCGGAAGAGGTAAGGGAGAAAGGTAGAGCGTGATCAAGGTGAGAGGCGCAATGCTCTACGCGTTGCCAAGGCTTTGTCCGGCCAGCACACAACAAACGCACAAGCAAACGCGCAGAGTAAATTTGAGGAGAAATTTTTTGGCTGCTGCTTCCTCGTCGCTCATACCCCGCACCTCAAACGATGTGCTGCGTTACTGCTTAACAGTCATTATCTCTGCAGTTTGCTCATTCCATTGTCGCGACAAAGGATACGCAGGCCCACAGACAAGTAAGTCACTGTCATAACTGCCATTTTTAGATGCCATAGCTAACAAAAAGAAAAGGATGGCAGACCGTGCTCGACGAAGCTCTCGTGCCCACAAGCCATCGATTATTCTGGCCGAACACGTCCAGGAAGACAGCGGCGATGAGGAGTACGAGGAGGAAGGAGACGAAGAAGAGACACGGAGCATCAAATCGAGTGGTAAGAGGCGCGGAGCAGCGACGAGTCCAAAGCCAGCGCCAGCGAAGAAACCACGTCGTCGCCCGAAAGCATCGAATCCGCCAGCCGCGCCGTCTAATAGTTTGTTGAAGCCGGTGCCGCAAGCTCCATCATTCCATGTCAACGACGTCAGTCATCTGCGCATGCAGGAAACTCCAGATACCTTGATCTTGAAACGTTGGTTCGGCATGCGAGCCGGGCTCGAGATCCTCAGAGAAGTTCCGCCAACATCAATGGCAGACCACACCATGACACCGCTCTCTGACCGAGCCGATGTACCAGGTCGCAGCTTCAAGTTCAAGATCCATCTCACAGACATCCCAGTGAACTGGGACCCTGTCGAAGGCGAAGCGCAATCCTCGAATATGCTTACCACGAAGGCAGAATTCGATGCAATGGAGAAGTACGAGAAGGCCGTCTTGACCTGGAAGATCGATGTGTGGAACGATATGGACCCCGAGCCCGACAGACATGTGATACAGCTCTTCCCGGAGGCTCCAAGAGTGAGGAGCAAAGCTCTGCAAAATTACAAGGGAGGCCGACCAATTCCGACCAACCGACAATACTTCCGTAGAGGTGGGCCCCTCGATCTCACTGTCTGTCCGACACGAGTCGGTGTCGAGAAGGTGGCCGCGGAAGCGTGTATGTTGCTCAACAAGTACCCGTTAGCTCTCGACCGGTCGAATTTCCCCAACATGGCCGCTGGTAGCGATGGGAAAGACAACGACTCGCGTAAAATCATAGAGCTCATGTCTCTTCAGGCTCTCGACCGCTCGTTCGATTTCCGCAAAATCCGGTATTGGTTCCGCAATCCTATCCAACCAAACGCCGGCCAGTATTTCCTCCGTCCGCATCTGATAGTAAGCCCGAACTCAAAAGGTGCCCCCGGGAACTCATACATTTTCTTTCTTCCGGTCTTCGATACGAAGCCAATGAAAGAAGATGGCAAATTTGCGAACGAAAGACCGAACGCCTGGATGAGGCTGCGTTTGTCAGACACTACAGTCACAAAGCAAAACATTGAACAGCTTCCCGACATCCCTTCATACTGGGGCCTGGAATATCAAGTCCCGAAGAATGTGTCGAAGATGCGATCGAGCAACATCTCGCCCGATGATATGGCGAAATTTGTGACCTATCTGTCGTGGAAGTTTTTCGGTTTTGTAGGGACTCGCGAAGCTATGCAAACTCTCATCGCCGAATTGAGCACGTTCCGGCTGCAAAAGCTTGCTCCATACCAGCAGGGACCTTTCGGTGGCAAGTCAATCTTCTCTTGGAACGGTTACATTCTTGGCTTCGGGGGTCACGTCTTGAGAACTATTCGTGGAGCCGTACCCACGATAGCTCCGGAACTTCCGAGACCTGCAATTGCATTATGCATGCAGAGTGCGTACGAGGTTTACAAGCGCGAGAAAAGTACGCGGGCAATGATGGACGAATTATTTGTATCGGCTCAAGAACTATCTTCTGGCGGCAGGTCCATCCTCAGCCTCCGAAATCATTGCAAGTGCTCGGACGGCATCGAGAGGACTCTGGAGGCGCATCACTGTATGTATTGTCTCAGACTCGTGATCTGTGCGAACATGACATGGCTCGAAGATGGACGTCTCGTATGCTCCTCGCATCTGAAGTCCGGTTCTGTACAAGAGCCATCGGTTCCTACGGCACGAGTGAAAGTCCGAGTCAGCTGGTTCGAGCGAGGCCTCGAGTCACGTATCCGAACTGCCATACGCGATGCGCTCTGTACAGAAGCCTGGATCAAAGACAATAACTTCCAAGACGCGTACGGGGTCGAGCGCACCGACACATATGCACCATCTATGTTGAACGTATCGCCGGACGCCGTTTTCCCACTGGAATTCGCCGATGGTCAGTTCTGGGTCCACCATCCCAGTAATGTTGTCCTAACAACCTACTTCATGAACGAATGGAAGGGTACCGACATTCCGATGGTCCTGGTAGCCTCATCAGCTGCTGCGAAGTCGCGCCGCCCCGACGTGTACCTCGTGGACATTGAGAAGAGCTTCGACCACTTTTGGCGAATCAGAATACTCATTCCATACGCCAAAGCATTGCGCATTAAGCTTGCCACAAAGGCCCCGTTAAAGTGGTGGGAAAACTATTCACGCATGATGCACTGTGGTGTCTATGATGGCTCAGAAGGTCTTTACCAGTTCAACTACCGTACTTACCACTCACTCAAACTGGCTGAAGGCGACAAATGGACTCAGGATAATATTTTGCGTTTGGACAGAATATGTCGAGCCATCGAACAGAGTGCTGTTTACAACCCGAAGGGATTATCACTTCCTCGGGGGCGCCGGTTGCCTCAGGGCATACCTGGAGCGCCCTGGCCGTGGAATCCAGACCACATCTACGACAACCACGATTGGGAGTACCTCAATCGTCTGTTCTCCCATCGTTTCCACAGGATGGACACGATGTGCGACTGGAAAAACGATCATCTTCAAGAGTGTGGAGAGACTTTGTTCCTTACCTGCGTGATCCTATGGTTTGCGTTGGATGGGGGCAAAGACGAGCTTCTCGGCTTGCGGATGACCGTCCACATCCGTCATCCTTTGAGGTTCTCGATTGGGCGCGCGCTGCACGTTCAGCCCGGGTCTATCATGAGGACGGGTTGGACTGTTCGGTATGTGCAAGCAAAATCATCCTATTGAGTATTCGTTGATGTTTTCTAGACACCCAACATCATTGGAAGACTACGATGAGTCGCTGAGAACGATAACCATGGAGACATGGATAGCGAACCGGTAAGTTCTTCGAAACGGCAGATATCTGTGCTGGTGACATGTAACTAACGTTGAACAGTGGTAAACTAGACTGTATGATTCCATACACACTCAAATACATTTTTCACATACTGATAAAGTTTAGTTCCGGTCACAGCGTCTAATGTGGCAAAGATGCTGCAACTACTCGAGGAAGTTCCAACACAATCTAAGTATTGGTCTGCCTATCCGCCAGACCTTTCAGGGACATCGATCAAGCTGCCTAGGGATTGGAGATCAGAGCGCATCGGTGCCACCCAGATTGAAGAGCTCACAGATGATGAGGAACTCAAGAAGGACTACGAGGCCGGTGCCAGAGAAGAAGATGACATGCCGCCCAAGGATATTTTTGGCGAGGTCAATAACGATCTTCTCAAGGATGTTGAGGAAGATACGATGGGTGACAGTGATTTGGCGGAGAACGAGGAGCCATCGTCGACACTTCAGGACGATGTTGATTTCCTTTTGGAGCAGGAAAAGCATGTCCCGGACGACGAAAGGGAGCGTTTCAGGAACGCAGTTATGCGCCTTGGCAAAGTTGCGGGAAAGAAAAAGGCTTGAGTGACCAAAAGCTCGTAATAGACGGTGGATGCTATGGTTCTCGTAGCGGTTCCGCAGATAGAGATGGACGTGGCTGCAAGGCAGCACGAGTGAATGAAATTCTCAGAGATCCCCAGTGTTACTGTACTTCATGCTTTCGTTTCCGCTGGGAGACTCAAACACGGCTGTTTGTCTGCGGCTGCATCGAAATTCAGATCTTTACCGGTGTGATGTAGTGTTCTCTCTAGTCCTCAAGATTCCCGCCAGAAGCCTGTGACTTGGCGGAAAACTCTAACCATGGCTTCTTTGCTACAATTCATGCTTTCTCCAGTCCTGCAATAAAGTCCTAATAGGTCTTGCGTTCCTGAGGTCTCCAACGTTTCCATTCTCTTCCGATTCCACGTCAAGCTTCTCTTCTTCCGAGTGACAGACTTCTCTTCTTAACATCTGATTATTGTCCTCTGTGAATCAGCCGCAGCTCGGTCAATCGGCGGATTTTCCTGCCTAAGTATCTTTTGCAGGTGTGCAGAATGCGACCGAGAAATTCTCCGAAGCAATGATCCTCGTCCGAGCCATGGACATGCTCTTCCTTACCAGCTACTTATCTTCCTCTGTAGTCCCGCCAGAACTTAAGCAATCGGCGGAATCATGTTCTAATGTTGTTTTTAGGCATGTGTGATGAACTGCAAAGATCTTTGAGCATAGCGTCTGTTTCCGCCACAGATACCTCCCCCGGCTGAACTTGCGACTAATGTATCTTCTCTCTTTACCTCCCTCTTCCAATGGTTATGAGCTACAATGGTCTTCGTTCCTTGTTAGGGAATGTCCAGTTCTTAATGCAGCTAAGGTTTCCGCTTTGTCACTCATGCATGGCTGAAAGTCGCTGCTGTCTTTCGTGGTCAGCTTTCTGCATGTATTGCGATGGCCCTATTTTGATAATATCATGATACATGGTAATTCTTATCTCAACTCCTGTGGAGACCAATGTCGCACTCGACTTGAGTTCCGCCCCATAAGATCTTTTGTGGCGGAACCTGGGACCTACAAGGTTCTTGACCTTGTCCCTCATCATGATGGAATTTGAATGAACTATGCATCCAGGTTTCCGCCGCCGGATGCTCTTTTGGCTGAGAGGAGGACGTTGGGAGTATGCCATGTAAATGTAATTCAATTTTCTTTCTCATTCTCGCCCCCCAATGAACTTCAGCCAGTGTAAAGTTTAGCGGCGGAAGGTACATAATGTCACATTTGGTCGTTCGTGCAGGAATATGCTTGTTAATTTCGAGTATCCGCCGGGAGGACTTGTCGTTGCGGAACCTCGTGCGAGGGAGCCCTTAGATCATGATGAGAAAAGATGTGAGCGACGTTCTGGATCGTGTTGAGGCAGAGACCAAGTCCGCCTTTATGTTTGCTGGCGGCGGATATCCAGGTCTGCTGACTACTAGCTATTATGTTTAGGATATGCGAAGGAGGTATGCATTTCAGCTGGATCAAGATTTCATGGCGGGAGGCATTGCTCATAGAGATGCACGAGAACGTTGTGACTGGGAAAATTACAAAAGACATATTAGCTATTAGATCAGCCAGGTTCACGATGAAAGGCTGCATTGCGAAGGTGCCAGGATGGTCAGGTAATGAAAGGTTATGACATTGGCAGAGCTTGATCCGCCATTGTTTTGGTAGATGGCTGTTTCCTCAGCAGCACTGTATGCTAACTATGTGCATAAGAATGTATATGCGATGAAATTTCCGCGAAGACATCCGCTACTTAAGGCTTTGATGGCTGATAGTAAAGAGTTATTGCGTTGTCGTGACTCTTGCACAAGATGTTATCACAATGCTGATCTTTGGCAATGATCCGCTAGGATGGTATCTGGCGGCTGTACAGCAGCTGTGACACTGTCAGGACAAGCATGCTGAAGGAATGGCAGTGCGATGATTTATCTCACGACAGATCCGCCGCGGCTTTATTTGCTAGCTGAAACAAAGGTAAGCCACTAGGAGAAGGTTGTATGAAGAGCTATGCTTGATAGATGCGTGTCGTGGATTTGAATCCGCCACGTGAACTGATGCTGGCTGACTTCTGTGTGGTATAGCAGTGGAGCGATATGTCATCCTAATGCCAATGCAAGCAATGCGGTAATCCGATCTCCGCAAGGTTCACTGCTGCCAGCTGATTTTGAAAGAGGTAGGTAGTAAGGTTGCATGTATCCAAGATGTCAAGACGAGAACCCTTCAGAATCAGGAACAGCCGGGATCACGACAGGTGGCTGGTTCCCATGCGGGGTGAAGGTAAAGTATTATGCCAATGCTATGACTATCGCCAATATGAAAGAGCGGTGTGGAGGTCGGGCCGCTGATTTTGATGCACACGGTAAAGGCGGCGCACGGGTTCAAGCAGGTTCAAAGTGAAGGTGCATCGCTATGAGAAACTGCTGAGAAAAGGAATCCCGGACTGAGCTGCGGTCGAGTCTTCGTTCGATGTCGACGAAGTCTTCCTGTTCTCTGGAAGTTCATCTCGCAAGATGGATGTCCGCGAGAGTAGAGTTCAACGGCGGATATGAACTGACTAAGAGCGCAAGTCGAGGTAATCAGAATATATTATCGCTGCCGAAGTCTAGATCATCGTTCCGCTGTGATGGACATCAGTGGCGGATAACAGCGTACCTTGACCAATGTAAATTGTGTGCATGAGAAGTCACAAACCCTGGCAGCCTATGGCAACTCATCCGCCAAACTGCTAACTCTCGGCGGAGAATGTAGCACTTGACATATGCCATGTATGTGGATATTCAGTCCATAGAAGTCTTGTTCCCTCATTTAGAGATCCGCTACTTTGGTATTGCTTAGCGGAAGTCATAACAGTAGGCATATGCGAAATTCGTGGATATGAAGTCACGAGAAGTCTCTTGCTTCACTTGCGGATCCGCCATACTGATATTGCTCAGCGGAGATGCCCGACGTGGACATACGTAAAGAGAAGTGGAATAGTCTCATTATGCTAAGATAAATCCGCCATGCTGATATCGCTTAGCGGACATAAATGCAGTTCAATGTATAAGGTGAAGCGATGTGGCGATTTACAGAAAAATCGTGTGGGGAGCCTATCAATCCGCCGCGCTTCATTCCTTCGGCGGTCACTGCTAGATTAGCATGATTACGAAGAGGAATGCCAAATGTCGGATAATAGGAAATTTATACACGTCAAAATCCGCCGTGCTTAGCATTTTCTGCGGATCGAGATGCCCACGACTATTGGTCGGGGGAGGAGGGCAATGTCTCAACGAAAGAATTTTATAAAGATGCGAGTGGCAGGAGACCCGCCAGCCCGTGCTTGCGAGGCGGATATATGAAAACATCAACATGGCTCTGCAAATCTCAAGTGAAACAGGTTTGGTGAAGATTTAATTCCTGTAAACTAGGTAGGTGATACATAGATTGACTTTCCGTGAATTACATAGAAGAGAGAGAGTTCACGCTGTCTTAGCAACTAGGCGATAAAAAATGGAATGATCGAGATGAACGACTGTAGATCAGCCATTGATACATGGTCTGGCTGAATTGAGTCCATTCCACGAGATATTTCTGCGCTAACTCTAGGGCGTAGGTTTTCCTTGTCTAGCAAAAGCACCCCGCCACTCACCATCTTGACAGCTGTGATTTCTAAGCACATTTGATCAATACAAGGCGCATTTGCCCTTTCACAGAGATTTACAATCCGCTGCCTAGCGGCCTACCGGCGGAGTACATTGAATTCAGGAAGACTTGTGACATGTCTTCAGGACAGCGCATTACAACCTCCCAGGTAGCTGAGATCCGCAGATACCTGAATGTATGGCGGAAACTCACAGAATATCAATGAATTGAATCCCTACAGCAATTAACAGCAAATGATGCAGTTATTCTTATTTTCCGTTATAACCTATGATCACGGCGGAAGTCTATGTAGATTGGTTTGCGTTGATCTCCGCACCCATAGCTAAGAAAAACTTAGGCATCCGCTGCACTATGAATAGGCAGCTGATTCAATCGTGGTGTGTGAAAGATCTACTTTGTAAAATCAACCTTATTTTTCACTGCAAATGTTGCCGATGGCGGACGTAGTTACGACAGAGAACATTTAGCAATCTCCGCCACTAATTAGAACCATGGTAGAAGTTTATATACCAATGATAGTCAAGACGCAAGATTAAAAAATGCCTCATCCTGAATGCAAGGGCTTTACTTCTCCGCCATCGGTACGATCTACAGCGGGGGGTTAGCATGAAGTCAATGAGCGTGAAGAGGCTGCGCCAATACGTTAGTTTCCCGCTGCTCACTATGGCACTGGCGGTCTCATCGACCATGGTTTTCACTCGTCCAAAAGTCTCAGAACTTCAGCTATCCGCCAATCCGCAAAAATATGGCGGTCTTCTCCAAAAGGCTTGCATGACGAGGTTTTAGCGGTTGTGGAGTATCAATGTGGACAGTCACAGGGATCTCGCGCCAATGAAGCGACCGGTATTTGAAACACCACATTTCATCGTAAGTTTTCAGGGTGACCATATAGAATATCAGAAAAGCAGAATAAATCGTGGTAAAGCGAATGTTTTCTTGCTAACACTGGCGCAGAGACTGGAAATTGCAGTGCTTCTATGGACTCCTTCAAATGCACATCAAACTCTCTTTTCCCGCTAACCCCCAAGTCTACGGCGGAAGTATGCATTCTTTCTAATAACTCATGGTGTAGCTTTAGAAATATTTCGATCGTCATTAGTTCGCCAGCGCCGAACTTGGTGGGATCC